AGAGAGAGAGAGAGAGAGAGAGAGAGAGAGAGAGAGGGAAGCAAGACTAAGAGAGAGAGAGAGAGACAGAAAGAGGAGAGCAGCCATAGCCCCTATCTGGTTGAGATCCGTTTTGTGTGTGTGCGCGCGGCAGAGCCACTGGAGACTAACATTCTTGTATATTGGAGACGACATCTTCAAGAGTTGATTGCATCTCGATTTGCCTTCTCACGTGTAACCTCTCACGTGAATGTTCATCGATGAATGCGAGGTTGAACTTGACAAGTACTTGGTTGTTCATTTCAAAACCACCAGTACTTCTGGGCCTCTTTTTACTGATGCGGATTTGCACTGCATCATTAAAACATGAACCGGGATGGGTGTATTTTTCCACTTTTTTTTGCCAGCTGCCCCCAGACCAATTACGGTATGGCGGCCGAAAGACATGGTATGCTACCGACCGCATCAGTACAAAATCGCCGGGAAAAGTACTGGTGATTTAAGAAGCCCTGTAGCGATGGTCACCGCTTTAGTAAAGGCCTCGATTGCTGGCAAAAAGCTTTGGGAGAGAGCGAGCATCATCTTTTTGACTCTTGAGATAGTTTAGACGGAATGTAAGTGTGATTTCAAATTTGACTGGCATGGATCCTATGGACATATTTGCAAGGTTCAGACAGATCATACGATCACTTTCATCCATCACTGCACTGTTGACATCCATTCTCCTCCGTTCAATATTATATTATTAAATATTTCATTTTCCGTCGCTGCCCTTCATGCTCTCGGCAAGTCGCTTTTCAATTGCATATCTCATACCACCTACCCGATCACTTATATTGTTTTCAATCACTTCCTGGCTCACTTCGATACTGACTCCATGGGAATAACAAGAACAACCCCACCAAGCCACCTTTTGCATCCCCCCTTTCTCAATCAAACTGAAGGGCGCAAACCCAGCTCGTACGTATCATATTGCGGGAGTTGGGGCACGTACTTCCACTACTGTCTTCACTCAAAAATCCCGGTAATTATCACTACATGTGGACTGAAAGATGTGCCAAATGCAGTTAGAATGACTGGACCATCTATCTGAGTAGAGATGGTGGGACTTCCCCACTGAACCCGGCTATGATCTGCACAACACAGATCTGTGAATGTCCCTGCGTGACTGGAAAAAAGCCATACTGGGAACATTGCTAGCCATAACTGGCTGGGTGAAATTGCTGGCAACGCACATCTTTTACTGTTAAACTCCCCCCACAAAAAAACTCCTGGGGCCAAGACATGGGATCACACTATGACCAGACAAAGCACTCCCATTATGACATTAAAAAAACATTTTTCGTGATTTCAAAAAGTGCAATCAAACAAGAAGAGGTGAAAACATCAGGAGAGAGAAATTAGAGAGGTGAACACAAAGTAGAGAGAATGCTACAGACAGTTTCATTCACAGCTCAAAACGGCCATCGCCACAAGCTGTTATAAATAACCATGGAAATCACAGCTGTGATATCCCTTACAATATTTTCAAGGACAGAGACAACGTCATTTAATCCGATTCTATCACTATTAGACGACGCTCTTCTAATCATTCAATGTACAAATCACGGTTGAGATCAGGCTGCAGACATAAGGAAGACATGAGCAAGCAGGAATGCATCTTCACCAATTCTTCACTGTATCCTGTACCTGCTTTATATCATCCGCGGTGCGGGTGCAAGAAACCTCAACGAAGTCCACAAGATCAGGCTGGTCCCATATTTTCAGCTCTTGCTGCAACAAAAAAAACCTCCAACAGTCAGGGAATCTTTTTTTTTTTTTTTTTTTTTCAAATAAGCCACATTCTAAACTCAAATTTCACCTCACTCTACCTACCTGCCACTACTCCAACAGTCAGGGAATCTCACAACATCACATGCTTAGAAAAGCAGTGCATAATGTTGAGAAATAAAGAACAGGATTTCAACATCAGAACAGGCGAGATGGTTAACGGGGGGGTCCAAATATTCGCCGATTTTGCTGGCAATTTGGGTGTGAAATTCATTGAAAAATTCCAAAACAAAGGATACGGGCCCCGCCAATTTTGCTGGCAATTTCGGTGTGAAATTCATTGAAAATTTCCAAAACAAAGGATACGGGCCCATAGTGCAAACATCAAAAAAGAAAACAGGCCAACGAAAGCGGAAAAAAAAAAAGACAAAAAGCACTACAACACAAAAACACTGTCCGAGTTAAAACGAAGGGTCCAACGAATTCAACGAATTCAACGAAATGCCAACTTTTTCATAAATGATCCAAACATGTTAAAACTGGACACGTGACGTACCCTAAAGCACATATATGTCACACAAAAAGAAAAACAAGAAACAAGCAAAAAATCATCACAATGCATTAGTTTCGGTGAGAATTTGCCGAAAATAACACCCCTGGTTAACCACAACAGATGCGTAAGTACCCTCAACCAGACTCCTACTCCAAAAGTGTGCCTCTTGAGGATGCTGCATGAGAAGGCGAACAAGGAGAGAGAGAGACCAGTACATGCAAAAGAGAACACATACACCATGGGGTATAGAGGGTGCAAAAAAACAATATTTTGATCCCAAACCAAAGAGGAGGGAAGGTGTTGCACAGCGAGCTTGAGTTCATCAGTCTTTCTCTGCTCGTCTCTTCCTATTACACAACCCCCTTTGCAAACATCGCATCACTGATTCTCTGCTCAATTGCGCGGTCTTTAAAAGATCCCAGCATTTACCAATTGTTCCTCTTCTTTCTCTCCTCCCCTTTCACTCTGAGCTGAGCATGTGTACGCATGCATGTAGTAATACACAGACCGATTCTAAAACATCCAGTGGATGCAAACAATAGCGACAAGATGCCAAGACACACCGACTCTAAAACATCCAGTGCAAACAGTAGCAACAAGACGCCAAGAGATTATACCATCCATGTACCACCGTACCTCCACTTCCTTCTGCGAAAAGATACTCGGCATTTCTGAGCTGTACTTCGCCACATGCACCATAATTGCTCCACTTTCAAGAGTTGCACGGTCAACGCAATGACAGACAACAGACTTCTCTTCCACTTCTTCAACCTTTCATCAACAGTTTACGCACAAACCAAGGCACACAGAGCAACGCACAGAAATGGACCTTTGAGCTAACTGCCAAGCTCCAAGAGTCAACGACTGGAAGAGACTTGAGATGTGCCCACAAACAGGGGCACAAAAGGATCGCATTACCAGCGGGTCTAGCTCAGTCGGTACACTCACAAACTGTTGAACTTCACACCCAAGTTTGACTCCACCAGATACAATCAGAAGGCCAGAATAAAATTGTTCTGAATTACCTCAAACCGATCCATTCAATAATAATCTCTCTCAAGGCCGTCGCCCTTTTAAAGAACCAAAAAACAAAAGAGTAGAGTTACCTTAAACCACTAGTACGTTTGGCGTCCGGTTTCGACAAGTACTTGCCAGCTCCCGAACTTTCAGGAGGCCGAGCCCGACGTTGATCAATCTGATCGGCGGCTGTCGTTTCGTTTCGGCCTCCTGAAAGTTTGGAGGCCGCGTATTTTCGAACCGTGCTTTAAAGTGTAAACTATCAAGCGACACTTGGAGGATACCCATTGTACAAAAGACTCACCACAATCAGATCAAGCTCGGTATTCAAAGCGGCGTTGGCAGAAGAGAGCTACATAAGGTAGAAATAGGACGAGCAACCCTTGTGCAGGAGAGGGGAATCAACAACCAGCAGCGTGGGCAGAAGAGAGCTCCATAAAGGTAAAAGGAACAGGCCAAGCGACCCTTATGCAGGAGAGGGGCATCAACAACCAGATACAAAATCACCATTACCCCTACAGATGGGAACCAAAGTTGCCACAATCAGATCAAGCTCGTCATTCCCAGAGACATGTGTTCGATATTGAAAGCAGCTTTGGCGGAAAGAGAGCTACATAAGGTAAAAGAATAAGTCAAGCAACCCTTACACAGGAGAGGGGCATCAACAACCAGACATGAAATGACCATCACCCTACAGATAGGAACAAGGTTTCCACAATCAGATCAAGATCATCATTACCATAGACATGCGTTCGATATTCAATGGGGCGTTGGCAGAACAGAGATACACAAGGTAAAAGAATAGGACAAGCAACCCTTGTGCAGGAGAGGGGCATCAACAACCAGACATGAACTCACCATCACCCTACAGATGGGAACCAAAGTTTTCACAATGAGATCAAGCTCGTCATTTCCAGAGACGTGTTCGATATTCAGAGTTGTGTTGGCAGAACGAGAAGTAAACAAGGTAAAAGAATAGGACAAGCAACCCTGATAAGTTTTTGAAGGGTTGAAAATGCGCTTTTAATGTTTTCCATGAAAATTGTGCTTCCAATCTGTTAAAAAAAACTCTCCCTTCCATTTATATGCAGGAGAGGGGCATCAACAAACGGACACAAAAATCACCATCACCCTACAGATGGGAGCCAAAGGTTGCAATAAGGCATTCATTTGCACAGCATTTATGCTAGACCCCCCTGCACACCTCCATTACTTTCTACTAGCCCCTCCAGACCAGTGTTTCCGTCCCCCTCGTCCATTCCAGAGATTCTCCACTTGACATAATACCATAAAAAAAACGAACACATGCACGGGACGGAACGAGAGCCAAAAACTGAAATCATTGAAATGTATGAAAGATACGCCAAGTGCAATGAAATCGGACCAACAAAGCAACTGCTCAACAACAATAGGATGCCATGCATGAGAACTTGCACTAGCAGAACAAGCATGAGAAGACAAAAACTGACATATTAAGGTAACGGGAGAAAAGGCGATCTCTGTGAGGTAATACCGCAATCTACCGCAATCTGACAAAAGCCAATCACCTACCTGAAGGACAGCCGAAAAGTTGTCGCTTCCAGTTGCAAGATACATGCCCACAAAAAGTCTCTCCCCAAGTTTAACGTACTGCACACAGAACACCCACAAAAGGAAATGTTATCGGCATCGTCAGTAAAGACAGCAAACAGGATTTGTTTTCCACAGACTGCTGAAAACAACAGTGCCGGTCAGGGATTAAAAAGAAGGACTCCTGATAAAATGGGGAGATGCACTCAAGGACCTTCTCTCCACCTTTGATGGATCGCATACTTGCATAGAAAATGCACTCACGGAATTGACGAGGGACATCCATTCAGCTCTTGCATGGAATGTACCTTTTCAGCATTTTCCAGAGCTAAGGCAAGAGGTGAAAGCCAGCCAATCCACAGTCCAGATGCCATTGTCTAAGATGATACTCGTCTCATCCATAAGGTAAGCTATATGACTACGTGGGTTGCAATTCTGGTACTCAAACCACAGTTGCTCTGTTGGTACGAGTGGGAGAAAACGACCTGAATGCAACGAGGGAGTAGGGCTCTTTTTTCCTTGGCATGTTCTATCAAAGCACCAGTACACCACACATCAGACAGCGGGTGTCAGCACGAAACCTGCACCACTTTGTAGGCCGCCGATTTTTTTTTCAACGGCGCCCCACACCGCGCAGCCCCTCCGAGTTTTGCTTGTGGCAACAAAAACTTTCTGAAAGGCTGGGGCCGTGTACTTGCGGTTTAAGCCTACCGACCTGCTCTAGTATAGCTGGGCAGGACTGTGTGCTAACGTCTACTGAAAATTTGCCATTAGGCTGTTCACTTCGCTAATTTCCATTCTGGTATTCCGATAACAGAACGAGGGAACATTGTACACTCTACGACAATCACATCGCTGGCAATCAATGCACATGTTGTGGACCACGTAGACAAACAAATGTGAAATGACACAAGCTTGGAAAGCACGTAGACAAACAAAAACAGACTATACATATGATTGACCGTAAAACTCGCAACACAAGCTTGGAGAGCACAACACCTTTCAACACGCAACCAATCATGTCAATGGTGTCATAGATTTGATCGAGCAGCCCCTGCATAAATACAGTCATGGAAAAGGAACAGGTCACTGCCAACAGGAGCAAATAACAAACGTGGACTCGGACATGGACATTGAGAGTAGACCACACAAGTCTACTGCATTGCACAGCATTTACATGTTTGATCCATTAACACAACTTCACAAATGAAGGGAAGGCATTTGCGGGAGGGAGCTAACCTTCATGAAATCAGGGCTATTCACAGGAAGCACTTGGGAAGATGCTGGAACCGTCGCATCTGTTGTTAGTGTCACTTTCTGCCAATTATTAAAAGAAGACATAAGACATTACAAATGTACAGTTGCATCCATTGTTAGCGAGCGGGATTGTCTGCCAAGGAAAGGAATGCACAATGCACATATTTATTATTTATTATTCTAATAGTCCCCCTTCCCTTCCTCTCAATCTAATTTTCCTCTCCTAGCGTGAGCAGGCGTGCATGGCTAAGAGAGATGGTTAATAGAAGACCCAAAATTCGGGGGGGGTTCGCCGCATCACTACAAGCAATGTCATCGACAATTTTGCGAGCAAACTATGCAGGCTCAAAATACACACATAAAAAAAAAAAGAACAGGCAAAAAAAAAAACACTCAAAGAGGACTAAAAAACGCTGAAGTAGCTTTCGAAGCAGTGCTGGGCCGGCAACCGGCCGGTTGAGCTACCCCGGTCCAACCGGAGCCGGACCAGACCAGGGGGGGTGAACCGGGAAACCGGTTTTGAAAAAAAAGTGCCCAAATATCTTCTTTTTTTTTTTTTTTTTCTTGGGCAGATTCTGACTGCGCTCTTCAAGAGCTGTCCAAATCCGCAATAAAATTTTCAAGGTACAACATTTTTCAGGGGGCTTCGAGAGGGGGGCAGGGAGTTATCATTGACATATTCAGGCAACTACGGCTTCCTCAGGGAGGGGTCAAGTAAGCAAGTTCACTTATCCGACCCCCCCGTCGCTGGAGCACTTCGTGGAGTATGTCATTTGATATTGATACCCCACGAGCTGAACCAGATATGACGAGAGGAGGTCCTTGCCCGAAATTATAGCTCGTCCAGAGTATATTTCGACAGCAGAAAAGTTATGGTTCCAGCTTTCTGCTCCTGGAGGCAGAGCGTTTTCTGTTTGCTGGTTTCTACATAAGGTGAGTTGTCAGTCCGGAAGTATCTTGTCTGGCAGTCTGTCCAGATACATGTAGTGGAGCAAGGTCCATTTGAGATAGATAGAGAGAAGAATATGGGCCTCGCTGCACTGCTCTCAAAATGTGCAAAACGAGAGTGAATCTTCCGTTAGAATTCGGAAAGATACACCGCCAAGATTTTTGTCTTTTGTGCATGTCGAGAGTAGTGCAGCAACGCCCTATMTTTTAGGTCCATTCTTGGGATTGCACCTCGGAAGTATCTTGTCTGGCAGTCTGTCCAGATACATGTRGTGGAGCAAGGTCCATTCGAGATAGATAGAGAGAAGAAKATGGGCCWCCAAAAAAAAAAAAAAAAAAAGAAGAATATGGGCGTCGCTGCACTACTCTCGAAATGTGCAAAACGAGAGTGAATCTTCCGCTAGAATTCGGGAAGATACACCGCCAAGATTTTTGTCTTTTGTGCATGTCGAGAGTAGTGCAGCAACGCCCTATATTTTAGGTCCATTCTTGGGATTGCACCTCGGGCGGCTCTGAAATCACAATTCCAAAATCCGAACCCATAACCTTTTTCCACAGATGGCAGGGACGTCGCAGAAGGATATAATCTCAGCAGAGTCTCATCAGAAGCATAGTGTTCCCCTCGTGGCTGAGGGTGAAAGAGCATCAGATGTTGCCAATGGTAACTGGTTCATTGGACCACAAGATGACAAACTGGATTAGGGGCCTACCCGACCCACATCTTAGGAAAAACGCATGGCTGTTCTCCATTGCTGATCTGCATAGATCAGCGGCGGATATCGTCTGCTCGTTTTTCTTATAGAAATGGGGTCCTGGCCGATCTTTGCCGCTGATCTGCGACGATCAGCGGCCAAGATTGGCGACTTTCAGTACTTGAAAAATCCGGGCCTACAGGACCCGGTTTCGAAATTGCGGGGCAGGGCCCGCCCCCACGAGGCCTTGGGAACACATACGCGCCGACAAAAAAAAAACTTCAGCCCCCAGCGAAAATGCGCTGGGGGCAACCGGGAGGGGACCGGCCCGGGCCACCGGCCGGTCCAACCGGAAGGACCGCGGATGGGGTAGGGGTCCCCGGTCCATCCGGCGACCAGCACTGTTTCGAAGTTCGCCAGAAGGTGACAGCTGAACACAAAACAAAAAATTCAACAATTTACATTGAAGCACATTAATACAGCCAGAATTGCGTGAGAGTCAATAGCAGCAACAAAACCCAAGTCAAGCTCAATACAACAAGGCAAAAACCTGATTGCCAACATTAATGCAATGACCATAACTGACGGTCAGTGTTTAAGAACATCCAAATTCCAGTCTTCTTCTGTAAAACGTGGAGCAGAGCCTCTTATGTTAAGCCAACGGAGAAGAAGTCCTTGTTTGAATGAAGGCATCTACTTCTTTCAGCGGATGAGGAAACCCTTGGCTAATGCAGCAGCATGCAAGGTCGCATGAGCAGCAACAGCTTTTCCACAGGTCGCACTTTTACCACGAAACTTGTGACAAAAGTGGATTAATCTGTAAGGTCTAACAGTGATAAAACTAGCCTTACTCCAAACATGGCATGACACAGACTTCCTTTCCTCAGGTAATACGGATCATCTATCAGCCGTCGAAGCCAAAAGGGAATATGACTGCCTGGCCTAACTCCTGCCACGGCACAACACAGATTTTCCTACCCTAAAGATAATACGGAGCACCTATCCACTGATAAAGCCAAAAGGTAATCCCACTGATGAAATAATACACATACAACTTTCACATCATTCAATGCATTTGGGTTCGAACATGGACTCCAGAGAAATCCACTTCATGACCTGCTTACAATCGAACTCCCGAATCTTGACATGACTCGAGTTCTACATTCCAATGACACTCACTACCACAGGTGATTTGAGAAAAAAATCCCTGTTGGTCCCCCCTCCCACACACACAGAACACACGCGCACACACACACACACACACCTGATGAGTAGGTGAAAATGCGACGAAACAGTCTGGCACAGTCATGTTTTTCTCTGTGAAGCTGTATCGCTCACATAACAACACACACACACACACACATGCACACAGACCCACCCGCCCACACACACAGGCACTTGCACACACATGCACACTATCACCACATTGGCATCAGAGGAGCCAGGCGGAAGACAAAGAATTGAAACCCTACCTGGCCGGCGTAAAGTTCGATTTTCTGATCTCTTGCAGCATTGATAACTTTGAAGGACGGTTCTGGAGTGTCAACTATAATCTGGTTTCACACCAATAGTCCGACGGAAGAGACGACCCTTCGTATCAATACACTGTCATACACTGATGAACCATGAACGCTAGCACAAACTACCTCCTTCATTTTTTTTTGTCTTTGTTTCATGTATCACTGTTCCATGTATGGTCTCTACCAAGGTGATCACGGCGCAATAGAATAAGCTCATATCCAAAGAATTGCCACACCGCACAAATGACCCACATCTCTCATTTATGCGACAATCAAAGGAGTTCTTCAAATTTTCCGAGCAAAAGCAGCATCCAGAACCTCCTGGACTCATGCAGCCCCAGAAATAGATTTGGACAAGGAACTCACTTGATTCTGGTGCGACACGCACACTCCCTCAGGACGGACTCAACAACCACAAATTCTCTAAACACAGGTGGGCGAAGCGCTTGAGCAAGGGCTACTTGCTTGCATGCCCTACCCAAATTTACAGCACGTGGAACACCACAGAACATGCAAACTCTTTCAGACAGAGCGAGAACAAATTGCATCACAAGCCGATGTTATCACCACAAATAACACATAAGCATGTCCGTTCCCATGTCACTTTGATCATTGGACACGACGGAGAATACCGGAAAGAACGGATTCAGAGCTCAACTGACAACTGTAAAACTGGGATGTTCACACCTGCAAACACCTGTGTCACTGGACAGAACCAAGCTCCGTGATTATCAGCATAATTCTTCCGACATACTTGTACCAATGAGGACAGAATCAGACATCAACAATTAACCCGTGAGCCGGTAATCAGAAACACATTAGGCATGTAATGTACGTCAAAAGAAGAAGAGGGGGTGACCATGACTGTGACTGAGAGGAGTTTTTTCAGTTCGCCACCAGAACCAATAACACACACTAGATGACCTGTTGCGGCTTCGCTCGCAAAAACAAACGCGCCAGGTGATGCAGTAAAAAGGTGGAGGCAACCAACGGATGCAAACTCTCTCTCTCTCTCTCTCTCTCTCTCTCTCTCTCTCTCTCTCTCACACACACACACACACACACACACACACACACACACACACACANTGTAGCCTCTCTGAAAGGTCAAGGTCGTAGCTGCTACAGTCCTGAAAGGTCAAGGTGTAGATCTGTCGCATAGGGGTCAAAGTTGTTGTAGAGGTCGTAGCTGTAGCCTCTCTGAAAGGTCAAGGTCGTAGCTGCTACAGTCCTGAAAGGTCAAGGTCGTAGCTGCTACAGAAATCGAAAGGCCAAGTCTGGGGACTACCGGAAGTTCCGGAAGCGGCCTTTCGAGAGAAACCTACGTTTAGTAGAGGCAAGTGGGCAAGTGGTGAGTCCTACCGTGCTGAGTCAGCGGTACCAGTACCAGTCGCACCTAGTCCGGTCAGCAAGTACCATGTGGGACTGTGTGCACCCTGGGCGCGGTGGAAAAGGGCCAGACCAGCGTCCAGCAGAAGTATAAATCAATAGGCAGCACCCAGCCATGGATTCATTCTGCTGTGCACCATGCGGAAGCGCTGCCTGAGCGTCTCGTGCGAGGTGGTCTGCAGGGAGCCCGAAGTCGAAGTGGGCAGAGAGGAAGACCAGTGTTAGTAGTAGATGTTGGTTAGTGTGTGTGTGTGTGTGTGTGTGTGTGTGTGTGTGTGTGTGTGTGTGTGTGTGTGTGCGTGCGCGTGTGAGATAGTCAGGGTGATCCAGAGTTGAGTGAGTGTGGACAGTGGTGTTGAGCGCAGTAATGAGAGTCGGGATGTTCAGGCGCTGTTGCGCCATAGCCTGTTGAAGCGAGTTTGCATCCAAACTGTGTTCTCGGTTTCCATATCTCTGAGCTTTGAGTGGGCGCTGTGCGCCAGTGCGAATCGCCATCTGTTTGCATGGATTTAAAGTGGAAAGGAAAGCGAGTCTGATTGCACCGCAAATAGGCCCTGTATTTGGCCGCAATTACGTCCATTGCTCATTCAGAATTACGTTCAGCGTGTAGGACTCTCCTGGATGCATCTGACCGCAATTAGGCCCTGTATTTGACCGCAATTAGGATCTGTATTAGGCTGCAATTAAGTCCTGTATAACCACAGCGAAACAGACTTATATTCAGAATGCACAGCAGGTTCTCAAAAAGTGCAATTAGGCCCTGTATTGGACCGCAATTCTGGATGCATCTGACCGCAATTAGGCCCTGTATTTTACCGCAACTAGGCCATGTATTTGGCCGCAATCAGGTCATTGCTCTCCGAACAGCAGGCTCTCAAAAAGTGCAAAATTCTCAGGTTTCAACCGTGCGGGTCTCATTGCTGTTCGAATGTGAGGGCTGTGTCTAGTCAGTATAATGGACAGGAAAAGGTATCAAATTATCAATTGAAAAAAAAAGGGGCGAGGGAAGAGCAGGTCGGCTTTTTTTTTGTCTTTTTTTTTTCGTGCATGCAGATGGATTGTTGTCTGTTTCCAAGCAGTGTTCCACGTGATTGATGCGTATGATGTGTCTAACAACCATATGTCGCATTGTTCAGAGTGTATAGGACTCTCCTGGATGCATCTGACCGCAACTAGGCCCTATGGTACAGTGCGATCCAAAAGGGAGTGAGTATATGTAAGTAATCTGTGGACAATTGTTGTTTTAGATAAGAGCAGATTAGGTGAAAGTCACATCCTAGAGGGAGTAGGACCTCTCTCTCTCTCTCTCTCTCTCTCTCTCTCTCTCTCTCTCTCTCTCTCTCTCTCTCTCTCTTTCCTAATGCATAAACGGCGAGAGAATGCTGATTATGGCTTTGCTTCACAAACTCTCCCAACGCGAAAAGACGAGTGAATGCCGATCTCTATCTTTCGAGAGAGTCTTTATTCTAGACTAGACGAAGACACTTGCGACTGACACGCATTTGATCAGTAGAGCAGTGGAGCTCTATCAGGAGAATCAAACTTGATTTGGTGTTTTCACGGCAGTATGGATGCCTGTGGATTAGCACCAGGTTTACATCCAACACCTCTACCGTCTTCACCCGAATCGAATAATGTACGGTCATTATCGCTGCATTTGGACCGAAAGTTCTGCCAAATACAGCTATTATAATGACCGGGCGTTCTATTCGGGTGAAGAGGGTAGGATTTTTGGAACACAGGAATATTTTTTGGGTTCCGTAAGCTTCACTTTACTTAATTTGGAAAGAATAACCCCTGCTTTCAGGAAGCCTCGCACCATTCGGCGTGATCATTGAAAATGAAAAAAATTTAAAAATCATAAAAATGTGATTAGTATGTTGCAATAGGTTTGCCTAATGTGTCCAGATGCTGATGTGGCGTTGTTATGTCCATGTTCTGCAGGGCAATTATCTTCAAGGGCGTTCGTTGAATCTGACCATGTATTGGAACATCATGCCCATAACAGGGGCAATTCGGACAGGGAAGAAGGTCTTCTCCGGATTCGTCCTACCAAAGGAGTATTCATCCTCTTCAATTATGTAGCCCACCCGCCTTCGTTGCCGCACTCCCCCTCCCCTCTCTTACCCCCTGCGGCATTCTCTCTTTTCCACGCACACATGAATGCATGCGTGCAGACAGCGCCTAGTCAAGCGCGCGAACATGCGAAGCCCTACCATGGACAGCATTGTTCTGTCCTTGTTTAGCGTTCGATTCATCTTTATGCCAGTGTTGTTTTCCCTTTCGTGTTCTCGTTTGCTTCCCTTTTTTTTTTTCCTATTGCTTTCTCTATTGAGGTTGGTGCTCCTCCCCCCCCCACCCCACCCCACCCCACCCACCAAAAAGCCCCACCTCTTGTCGTTTTGCTTCTTTTTGTTCGATGTCCTTCTCTTGCTTACAAAATGGGTCAGTGTGCTGAGGCGGTGGGAAAGGTGGGAACATACCGACAAGTCATCTCTCTCTCTCTCTCTCTCTCTCTCTCTCTCTCTCTCCCCCCCTCTCACACACACACACACACACACACACACACACACACACACACACACACACACACACACATATACACCAAGAAAGCGAAAAATAATTGCGCCATGAACCCACGTAGTGCGACACAACGTGACATGATTTCAGAACCTTTTACCGTCCCCTCCGCCACCGCCCAGCTCCCCCTAACACTTCCCGGTTCTCCCTTCACCCATACTGTCGCACTTACCTCATCAAATTTTCTGATCCCCCCACTGTTCTACTGTGCCTTCGACGCCCTTCGTCTGCCTATCTCTCCCCTCCTTTCCCCATTTCTCACGCGCCTCGTCTTCATTCCTCCTTCCCCCTAACATTTTCCCCCTCCCACATGTCTCTCACTCTCTCTCTCTCTCTCTCCATCACTCACACACAAACACACACACACACACATACGAACACAAAAAAAAGGAAAAGAGACGAAACGATTAACGAACCGTGTCACGTGCCACAGCCACATGGCCCAATCTCGAGCCTTTACCCCCTCCTTCCCCCTAACATTT